CCCAACTAGAACAGTCGCCGTCTAGTTGAATCCTCTCTAATACACAACTTTCCTTGTATGAATCTTAGCCCTGGCTTCGTCTCTGTAGATGCTTTCCTCTCCCACTACATTGTAAAATGCTCCAAACTTCAGAACACCCGTGACTTAACCTGGGCACCTAGCTCTCTTGCAGTGCTCCCCTTCCTTTGTATTTGACTGGCTCATCCTCCTTATTCCCCACTTCTACCACTACCACTGCTACTACCTCTTCTACTACTACTACTACTACTGATGAAATTAAGACACATGTGCGGCGTCTGAGTGTCTTTGTTGTGGACGTTTTGCCATCCAGTGGCTGGCTGGATGGCGAAACGTCTACGATAGGGATGCCCAGGTGTTGCGCGTGTGTCTTAATTTCATCTTGTTGATATTATATACCATTCTTGTACTACTACTACTACTACTACTACTACCACCACCTCTTCCTGTCTATATATAGCCATCCTGCTCCACTTCTGGTTAGTGTGACTTTGTAAATGGTCCAAGTCGGACCGAAACGTCGTCGTAAGCTTCTCTCTTTTATGTGCGGGTTATTTGTGTATCGTTCCAGTCACGGTATTGTGCCTTTTTTTTGTTATTTATAGGGTACACTACCCGAGTGCACGCGGCGGCGTATGTACCGACGCTTCACTGGTGAATATGTTTCCTCACTATCACTACTCGAATGATCGTCAAGAGCAATAAAATCACAATCCACGTCACTATCATCATTACTGAAGTCAGAGGCCTGGCCACGCGAAAATAATAGTTTTCTCTTGCGTTGAGGTACAACCGACCATGACTGACGAGTGCCCACACCAGAGGTGGAAGGTTGAGGATTGTCAGGGTTTTCTGCACTATTATCGATATCCTGGTTATTCCTTTCGGTCACTAACTGATCAAAGCCAAAGAATTCGTCTTCATTTCCACTTCCATCACTGTCAGAACTATCAGATAGGAACAGGAGAGTCCCAATTTTCCTTGGAGTGAGAGCTGCCTTGCTACGAGGCATGGTGAACAAGGGTAACTGAGCCGGCGTTCCCACAATGCTATGCGGGCGCCTAGATTTTTTGTTTATGGCGCACACCCACCATGCAGATCTTACATGTAGGCCTATGAGCGTTTTCACGCTAAATTTGACGGCGCTAGAATTTTGGCGTAGATCTACAGTTTGGACACTCAACGTGAAGCCGTAGATCTACGGGACGGACCCTGAAAGGGTTAAATTCAAAAACTGAGGTTCCAACATACTTCATTTTTCTTCCATGTTGTTTTGTACTAAGTTTGTAAATTCATGCTTTATATTTATATTGAAGGATAAGTTATGGCAGGAAAAGAAGGAATATAAATATAAATTTGAGGATTATGTGGAGCAAAATAAGGGTTGGATGTGAAAAGTGGGTTATAGTAAGTGTTTATGCACCTGGAGAAGAGAGAAGTGTAGAGGAGAGAAAGAGATTTTGGGAAATGTTGAGTGAGTGCATGGGGAGTTTTGAACCAAGTGAGAGGGTACTGTACCTGTGGTTGGGGATCTCAATGCTAAAGTGGGTAAAAATGTTGTAGGGGGAGTAGTAGGTAAATTTGGGGTGCCAGGGGTAAATGAAAATGGGGAGCCTTCAGTTGAACTATGTATAGAAAGAGGTTTGGTAATAATTAATACATATTTTATGAAAAAGAGGATAAATAAGTATACAAGATATGACATAGCAATTAATGAAACTAGTTTGTTAGATTATACATTGGTGGATAAAAGGTTGATGGGTAGGCTTCAGGATGTACATGTTTATAGAGGGGCAATGAATATATCGGCTCATTATCTAGTTGTAGCTACAGTTAGAGTAAGAGGTAGATGGGGCAAAAGGAAAATGGCAACAGTAAGTATGAGATAGGTGAAAGTTTATAAAGTAAGGGAGGAGGAAGTTAGAGTGAGATATAAGCAACTTTTGGCAGAAAGGTGGGCTAGTGCAAGTATGGGTAGTGGGGAGGTTGAAGAGGGATGGGATAGTTTTAAAAATGCAGTATTAGAATGTGAGGGCAGAAGTTTGTAGCTATAGGAGGGTGGATGCAGGAGGAAAGAGGAGTGATTGGTGGAATGATGAGGTAAAGGGTGCGATATATGAGAAGTGATATAAGAAGGGCAGAGTACATATATGGAAAGTAAAAGAAAGGTGAAGAGAGTGGTGAGCGAGTACAGAAGGAGAGGAAACGATTGAGTGGGAGAGGCACTGTCAAGAAATTTTGCTGAGAATAAGAAAAAAATTTAGAGTGAGATAAACAGATTAAGAAAAGCTAGGGAACGAATGAATTTGTCAATTAAAAACAGAGTAGGGGAGTTAGTAGATGGGGAGCTGGAGGTATTGGGTAGATGGAAGGAATATTTTGAGGAACTTTTAAATGTTGATGATGCACTGGCCAGGGAAGTATAACATCTTTTAGGAGTGAAGAAGACCAGGATGTGAGTGGGGGGAGGTGCATGAGGCATTACACAGAATGAAAGGGGGTAAAGCAGCTGAAACTGATGGGATCATGACAGAAATGTCAAAAGCAAGGCGATATATAGTGTTGGAGTGGTTGGTATTTTTGTTTAATAAATGTATGAAAGAGGGGATGGTACCTGGGGATTGGCAGAATATAATTCCTTTATGTAAAGGGAAGTGGGACAAAAGAGATTGTAAAAAATATAGGGGAATAAGTTAACTGAGTATACCAGGTAAAATGTAGGGTTATTATTGGAAGAATTTAAGATAAGACAGATAGCAGGATTGCAGATGAGCAAGGAGGCTTTAGAATGGGTAAGGGTTGTGTAGATCAAGTGTTTGCATTGAAGCAAATATGTGAACAGTATTTAGATCAAGGAGAAGTTTTCATTGCATTTATGGATTTAGAAAAGGCATATGATAGAGGGGATAGGGGAGCAATGTGGCAGATGTTGCAAGTGTATGGAATAGGTAGTAAGTTATTAAATGCTGTAAAGAGTTTTTATGAGGATAGTGAGGCTCAGGTTAGGATGTGTAGGAGAGAGGGAGATTACTTCCCAGTAAAAATAGGTCTTAGACAGGGATGTGTAATGTCACCATGGTTAACATATTTATAGATGGAGTAGTAAAAGAAGTAAATGCTAGGGTGTTGGGGAGAGGGGTGGGATTAAATTATCGGGAATCAAATACGAAGTGAGAGTTTATGCAGTTACTTTTTGCTGATGATACTGTGCTCTTGGGGGATTCTAAAAAAAAGTTTCAAAGGTTAGTGGACAAGTTTGGGAGGGTGTGTAAAGGAAGAAAGTTGAAAGTGAACATAGATAAGAGTAAGGTGATGAGGGTATCTAACGATTTAGATAAAGAAAAATTGGAAGAAGTGAATGTTTTCAGGTATTTGGGAGTTGACTTGTCAGTGGATGGGTTTAAGAAGGATGAGGTAGACCATAGAATTGATGAAAGAAAAAAGTTGAGTGGTGCATTGAGGTGTCTGTGGAGACAAAAAAAAAGTTACCCATGGAGGCAAAGAAGGGAATGTACGAGAGTATAGTGGTACCAACACTCTTATATGGGTGTAAAGCATGGGTTGTAAATGCTGCAGCAAGGAAGCAGCTGGATTCAGTGGAGATGTCGTGTCTAAGGGCAATGTGTGGTGTAAATATTATGCAGAGAATTCATATTGTGGAAATTAGGAGGTGTGGAGTTACTAAAAGTATTAGTCAGAGGCTGAAGAGAGACTGTTGAGGTTGTTTGGTCATTTAGAGAGAATGGAACAAAGAAGAGTGACTTGGAGAGCATATAAATTTATTGGGGAAGGAAGGCAGGGTAGGGGCCATCCCCGAAAAGGTTGGTGGGAGGGGGGTAAATGAAGTTTTGTGGGCAAGGGGCTTGGACTTCCAGCAAGCGTGTGTGAGCTTGTTAGATAGGAGTGAATGGAGATGAATGGTGTTTGAGACCTGATGAGCTATTGGAGTGTGACCAGGGTAATATTTTGTGAAGGGATTCAGGGAAACTGGTTAGCAGGACTTGAGTCCTGGAAATGGGAAGTACAATGCCTGCACTTAAAGGAGGGCTTTAGGATATTGGCAGTTTGGAGGGACGTCTAAACTGTCGTATCTGAGCTCCTCTGCAAAGACAGTGATTACGTATGAGTGATGGTGAAAGTGTTGAATGATGATGAAAGTTTTTTATTTCTTTTTGGGTTTTTCTTTCTTTTTGGGTCACCCTGCCTCGGTGAGAAATGGCTGACATGTTAAAAAAAAATTTACCCTGGTTATGTTTATGTACTGTATTTTTTGGGTTTTCTATGTTTTTCTTTTCCTGACCAGGGAAATAACCCATCTCCCTCCTTTTCCTGATACTGGTTCTGCCAGATCGTTTATTGGTGTTTACTCGTTTTATATTAAAAAGAATTGAGAGGAAACCTTGAACTACATTTTCGACTATCTTGACTGTTATGAAATCAAAACCGAGTGAGAAAATGAGAGGAGAGGAAAATTGGAGGACAGGTTAGTGACAGATATACCAGAAACCAGGTCAGGTGGGAGATACATATTCTTGTTTTGGCATACTCTTCATCCCTCTGTCTTATTTTTGCATTTCCCTCAGATATTTGTTTCAAAACTAATGAAAAAATTTTCAGATGATTCTTATTCTTCACTGTATCATTTCTTTTGTTGTGACTCACACTTAGTGATTTTGAGTGAAAGTCCTCATAAATATCTAGTTGTTTTATCTCCAATCCTTGCATTGCTTCATCCATCTTCAGCTCATATATCACTTTCCCTACTTAGCCTCTGTCTTGAGGTGTCCTTGCTTCCCAGGGTTCCTCCCCCCACTCTCTTGCCTTGGTTCTATGATCATCATTATGATGGTCTTGTCCATGTCTGCTTTCTCTTTTGTCATTATTGATGCTGATCTAGTATCCTTAGTTTTGAGTGTCACCCCATTGCTTGTTTAATCTTATCATTATTAGTTTTATAACAGAAATTTGTACATTTGTGTCAGGCCCTGGCTGGAGAGAGGTGTTAGCAGTAAAGAAGCAAAGCTTTATCTGCAGAAACTTGCAGATGTCTGTAAATCCATATCCATTCGCCTTGATTCGGCTAAGGTATGAAACCTGCTGCTGCTCTTCATTATGAATACACTTGTTTAAAATTCCTAAGTAACCTTATACTATGCTTGCCATTATTTGGTGTCAAAATGAGGTACTTTTTTCTTCTTCTTCTTCTTCTTCTTCATGATGTAAACTTGTGTGACTTGCTAATGAAAGCTCCATTTTCCAACAGCTGCTTCTCAGCAATGGAGACATTTCTGTAAAAGAAGCAAGAGAATTAAATCTCAAAATTAATGAACTTGAGAATGAACTCCAACTTCGGAGTGAATACATTAGTGACCTTCAGGCCAACACTGTGGATAATAATGTAGGTATGTGGCAATACTAATTTCCCATTTATGGTAATCAGGAGCAAGTCTTTGGTGTGCTCCTAGTTCTTGTACCCATGATGGGTGTTGCATTGAATTTTGCCCTAGCTGGTAGGGATTGTATAAAGCTAGAGCCAGTCTTCATACACATTTACGGTGCCTCATTAGAGGCAGTTGCCTAAGCAATACTTAGTGGGATGGGCTTACTGGTGGCTTTCTGCTTCGATAAGCTGCATGCTCTACAACTTTTCAGATACTGCAAATGTGCATAAATTTAAAGAGGTTCAGAATTACTTCTACACTGATGTTTAGAAGCAAAAATTGTTACAACACTGAACAACAGATTTCCTTCTGAGGTAAAAGTATGCATTCAAGTCTAATTTGAGTATGTTAATTTTGAAGTCTAAAATCACAGATTAACTAACTACATAAGATTTTTAAGACAAAAAACTATCACTATTTTGAGTTTGGCTGATGTGCTGAGAACAGTTAACTTGTACAATGTGCCAAATTGTTTTAATCCACAATTCCTGTAACTAAAATTTCTGACATAATGGGTAAATTCTGACTTCAGATTTGGAATCAGCATATGTAAATTAATGAAAAACACGCATTTACCTCAGTAGCAGACTAAAAGCTGTTGTATTTCATTATCTGGAGTCGCTGGCAGATGACGGTAGGCTGGGAGCTCTTTGAGGGCAAATGCTCATTTATGTGACAGTTTGGCTCATGGCCTTGCATGTGTTCATCTGCAGCTTAGGCTGATCACTTGGGCCAAACATCTGACAGATTATCAAGGGTAATCAGGTGATGACAGATGAGTAGCCATACAAATCAAGCAGTTTGATACTGCTTCCAGGAGGAACCAGTGGAGTCTTCTTACACACTGCCTCAACCCATTCAGCCCATGTTGGGGACCATAACACCTTATACATGAAAACAAGAAGAATGCCTCCTCAACAAGGATGTGATCATCGTTTGACAAATTTTTTGAAAAGCTGAACAGTGTTCTTGTGAACACCAATTCCTTGGTTCTTACTTGTAACTGACAGGGACTCCCTCGAACCACCAACCTTCAGGAGGAACCTTGATGTGAAATTGTATGTTCCCTTCTTGTACAGTGCTGCCAGTGGTACAGATTTGGGCACCAGAATTAAAAATGTAGTGGAACCTTGGTTTTCATCATTAATTCTTTCCAGAAAGTCTGACGAAAACTGAATTCGACAAAAACTGAAGCAGTATTTCCCATAAGAAATACATGTAATGTAAATCCAATTAATCCATTCCAGAAACCCAAAAGTATTAACAAAAAATACATTTTATAGAGAATACCTGTAGTTTTACATACAGAAAACAATGAGAAATAAATATAAAGGACTTGTGGAAATTTGTCTGGACTGCCTCCTTGTAAGCTGCTCCCCTGGCAGTACTGCTAACACGGACACTCTGAGACTAGTCCTATCAGAGCTCACAAGTGGCTTATAGGACACATTTCCATATAGCTGAACTTGCAAGAAAATTCCCCTCTGCATGCATGCACGACTTGGTGGAGAAGAATATATCACCCAGTCTTCCAACCTCCCTAAGCCTTAGTCCCTCTGGACTCTCCCCTTCTAGTCACAACATGCAGTCAGAGACTTAATTCCTGCAATATTCAGTCAGTATTAGTGACCTGCCTACACCTCAGAAATTCCTGATTCCAAGGGGGTGTGTATCCCCTAGTATAACTATGCAGTAAGAGACACTAGCTTCTAAACTTGTACGTACTTAGAGGGGATGCTAGTACATACTGGTCTACTGGCGTCCGACTGTAGACTCGGCCCACAGTTCAACTCACTCATGATGTCCCCCAGAAAACTGGCCAGAAATACTGAGAAAGAAAGGAAGGTCTTGTCTTACTGTAATGGGCCTGATGGAGAGTATCCCCAGTACTTCGAGGATGCCTACACCAAATTTCCCCAGGTCTAGTATGTGTAGACATGTTGGGGCGCCGCACTGCTGTCACGGCACTTATTATTCCGATGGTGTCTGATCTTAGTAGAACGCTGGAGTGTCCGTGATACCCATACTCCCTCGTTCGAGCATGGCGGTTGCCATTTCTCCTTGGCTAATACGTATAACCTAACGTTTCCCTATACTGAAGGCCTAAACCTACCTACGTGAAGGCTTAGGTCTACATTATAAATATCTACAGTTGCCTCAATAATCCTAATACAGTGGACCTCGACCAACGATATTAATCCGTTCCAGAGAGCTTGTCCTTAGCCAAATTTATCGTTAGCCGAATTAATTTCCCCCATAAGAAATAATGGAAATCCAATTAATCTGTTCCAGACAGCCAAAAGTATTAAAATAAAAATTTTTTTTACATGGAATATACATTTCCTTACAAAGAAAACAATTGAGACATGCACAATAAATACATTAAATAAATACTAAAATGACACTTACTTTTATTGAAGAGTATTGATGAGTGATGAGACACTGTTTTTCTTGAACACTCTGGGATTTTCAGAGTGATGCGTGAGTAAAGACTTCACTTTGCAATCCCCACTAGCATTACAACAGAACATGAGAGCTAGCCTGTCTTTCATAGCCTTGTGTCCTGGGAGTGCCTTTTCCTCCTGAGTAATGTAGGTCCTGTTTGGCAATTTCTTCCAGAACAGGCCTGTTTCGTCACAATTGAACACTTGTTGGGGTTGGAATTTTTCAGCCTCGCCATGCCTTATCACACTGTGTATGCCACTACGATTCTTAAATCTCTCAAACCAACATTTGCTGGCCTTAAATTCACCAATATGAGCACTAGTTCCAGGCATTTTTTCCTGTTCACCTGAGTGTTAGTCGACTGGTGTGGGTCGCTTCATGGGGGACAAGATTAAAGACCCGAATGGAAATAAGTTAGACAGTCCTCGATGACCCACTGACTTTCTTGGGTCATCCTGGGTGGCTAACCCTCTGGAGTTAATTGTTTCTCCGTAATTGATTCTCGTTAAGCCACACCAACAACACACTCTCCACATCTTCAAGTAGTACAGCTGATGGTGGTGCAGCAGCAGCAGCTGACCGTCATACTGCAGCAGCTGACGGTGGTACAGCAGCAGCTGATGGTGGTGCAGCAGCAGCTGACGGTGGTGCAGCAGCAGCTGACCGTGGTACTGCAGCAGCAGCTGACCGTGGTACTGCAGCAGCTGACCGTGGTACTGCAGCAGCTGATGGTACAGCAGCAGCTGATGGTGGTACAGCAGCAGCTGACTGTGGTGCAACAGCAGCTGACTGTGGTGCAGCAGCAGCTGATGGTGGTGCAGCAGCAGCTGATGGTGGTGCAGCAGCAGCTGATGGTGGTGCAGCAGCACCTGATGGTGGTACAGCAGCAGCTGATGGTGGTACAGCACCAGCTGATGGTGGTGCAGCAGCAGCTGACCGTGGTGCAATAGTATTTCTCACCCTTTTTACCACAGGGTTGGCACTAGAAGCTTTCTTTGGGCCCATGGTGGCTTATTTAGCAGTTACAAGCACTAAAAACAATGGAATAATATAAAATGTATCAAATGTATGCGTGGAACCATCTGCCCTGAAGGCAGGACAGCTGAGGCGCTCAGGCCAGACGGACAGGCGGACGCGTTTAGGATGAATGTCCTTACCTGAGTTTTTCATCATTGGTCGAGCCAATATTTTTACGCAAAAACGCATCGTTACCTGATTTTATTATTAGTCGATGCCATCATTGGTCGAGGGTCCACTGTATTAATTTATTTATTTATTTTATGTCTTTGCAAACAGTACATTGAGATTTTATATTTACTATAGTGGGTTGCAATGCAAAGAGAGCCTCTATTATGCCTAGGTATTATGGGCCAACTTAACATTATTGGCTTACAGACTACAGTACTTAACACTAAGGATTTTATCATAGTTCTACAGTAGGACAGTAATTATTTCATAGTTGAACAGTAGATTATTAATTATAAATGAATTAAATTTGTATAAGACAAAGGATATATTCATATAGTCTAAAATGCTTTTTGTGAAAACATTGGTTCAATTATATTCCTGTCAACAATGGATAAAAGGTTCAAAGTGATTGTTGAAGTTATGATGTGGGAGTACATAGGTGGGTATGTGTGTACTGAGTATTTAACATTTAGTCTAGGGTGATTAAGTTGTATAAACTACCTACACTTTCCTTGAAGGGTAAATCTATCAATCTAGATGTACCGTCCAACCACCTCTGCCAACCTGGTGTGTGTGTTTTGGGTAGATGTGAGGCCTGCAAAACTCAGATGCCCCATCCGTGGAATGTTAGGGGTTTCATACAGCTTATATACCTTGTGGAACTTTGGACCGAATAAGTTCCCACAGGACTAATGAAATGGATGAATGAACATTTAACATCACTTTTACCTTTATTGAAGACTCTTGTTGGTGTATGGATGATGGCGAGGAGGGGAGAGGGAGGAGAGGTTATCTCTACCACCATCTCTACCACCATCTCTACCACCATCACTACCACCATCACTACCACCACCACTGCCACCATCACTACCACCATCACTACTACCATCACTACTACCATCACTACTACCAACTACTGCAATCACTACCACCATCACTACCACCCTCTACCACCATCACTACCACCCTCTACCACCATCACTACCACCCTCTACCAACAAGAAACAAAGCCAGGCTGACTCAGAATGTGTGGGATGCTTTGTGTGGGCACTGGTGGACACGATGAAAACCGAGGTGATGAACGATAACTGGGACAAAATTTTTGATGAAAAAAGTCGTTGAAAACCAAATTCAATGAAAACCAGGGCAAACGAAAACCGAGGTTCCACTGTACAATTCACCTCTTTATAAGTGCCTTGCAGAGTGCCTCCTGTACAGAAGTGGTTTATAGCCAAAATACTTCTTCTCTTATGCCAAATCTAAGGAAAAAACAACATCCAGTATTTGGCCCCTGCTTAGGCGAGATGGGACATACACAGATATCAGCCAAGAAATGAGTGAGATACTACAGTCCCAATATGACTCAGTGTTCAGTGAGCCATTACCCAGACTAAGGGTTGACAATCCAGAAGAATTCTTAATGAGCAAGACCTAAAATTTGATCATCTCAAAAATCTCTGATATTATCCTAACACCACAAGACTGAAAAGGCAATAAATGACATTCCCGTGCACTCTGCCTGGGGCAGAGTGCATGAAACTCCATGTTCATCAAGAACTGCAAGAAGCCTGTCGGGTGCCTTCAGCAGTCTATGGAGAGGGAGCATGGACACTGGTCATCCCACACTCACTAATAACAACAGATATAGCCCCACTACAAAGGTAGCAGTAACGCAGTTGCAAGGAACTACAGACTGATAGCACTAATATCCCGTATCATAAAAATCTTTGAAAGGGTTCTAAGAAGCAAGATCACGAACCACCTAGATATCCATCAGTTACACAACCCAGGGCAACATGGGTTTAGAACAGGTTGCTCCTGCCTGTCCCAGCTACTGGACCACTATGACAAGGTCCTGGATGCTATAGAGGATAAACAAAATGCAGATGTAATTTACCCAGACTCTGCAAAACCCTTCGACAAGTGTGACCATGGTGTAATAGCGCACAAAATGTGTGATAAAGGAATAACAGGAAAAGTTGGCAAATGGATCTATAACTTCCAGACAATAGACCACAAAGAGTAATAGTAAACAGAGTAAAGTCCGAGGCAGCTACGGTGAAAAGCTCTGTTCCACAAGGCATAGTACTCGCTCCCATCCTATTCCTCATCCTCATATCTGACATGGACAGAGATGTAAGCCATAGCTTCATGTCTTCCTTTGTGGATGACACCCGAATTGCCATGACAGTGACCTCCATCGAAAACACTGCAAGACTCCAAGCAGACATAAACCAAATCTTCAAATGGGCCACTCAAAACAATATGAAGTTCAGTGAAGAGAAATTTCAACTACAGCCTCTCCTCACTTATGGACATACTGTACTCGTTTACCGATGACTCAGGTTTATGAGAGGCTTTCTGACCAGTATGCATACCTTAATAATGTATATTAGAACTGATTTCCTCTTTTGTTTATTACAATATACAGTACAATACTGTATAAACATTTAAAAATATACCAGAAATGTTATAAATGATGCAAAGGTGACATTAAAGCAATATCAAAGATGGTTGACACAAACCCACAACCATTATAGTATGACTAATTTGTTTACTGACTTGGTCTTAGGAACGGAACTCCGTCATTCAGTGAGAAGAGGTTGTACTCTGATATGGAAAACTTAAGGAAATTAAAACTGTATCAGGGTATACAAAATATTCAAACCATACAATAGAGCAAAAAAGTAATGTGAAGGACTTGAGAGTGATAATGTCAGAGGATCTCACCTTCAAAGACCACAACAATGTATCTACTGCATCTACTAGGAAAATGAAAGGATGGATAATGAGAACCTTCAAAACTAGGGACACCAAACCCATGATGATTCTCTTCAAATTGATTGTTCTCTCTAGGCTGGAATACTGCTGTACACTAACTGCCCCCTTCAAAGCAGGCAAAATTGCTGACCTGGAGTCTGTACAAAGAACTTTCACGGCTCATATGTATAAGTATGATAAGGCACCTAAATTACTGGGAACAGTTGAAGTCCTTTGATTTGTGTTCCTTGGAATGCAGGCAAGAGAGAAACATGATAATATGCACTTGGAAAATCCTAGAGGGATTAGTACCAAACTTGCACACAGAAATCACTCCCTATGAAAGCAAAAGACTCGGCAGGAGATGCGACATTTCCCCAATGAAAAGTAGGGGCACCACGAGTACACTGAGAGACAGCACAATAAGTGTCAGGGGCCCAAGACTGTTCAACTGCCTCCCAGCATACATAAGGGGGATTACCAATAGACCCCTGGCTGTTTTCAAGAAGGCACTGGACAAGCACCTAAAGTCAGTACCTGACCAGCCGGGCTGTGGTTCGTATGTCAATTTGTGTGCAGCCAGCAGTAACAGCCTGGTTGATCAGACCCTGATCCACCACGAGGCCTGATCTCAGACTGAGCCACGGGGGCATTGACTCCCGAAACCCTCTCTAGGTGTACTCCAGGTATCTTTAATACAGTGGACCCCCGGTTTACGATATTATTTCATTCCAGAAGTATGTTCAGGTGCCAGTACTGACCGAATTTGTTCCCATAAGGAATATTGTGAATTAGATTAGTCCATTTCAGACCCCCAAACATACACATACAAACGCACTTACATAAATACACTTACATAATTGGTCGCATTGGGAGCTGATCGTAAACCGGGGGTCCACTGTACTTGTAAGGCCATAGACATGGTTTATAGCCACAAAAAGAAGTGTTTATCACTTTACAAATACAGTAGTTTTATTATGATTATATATGAAGCACGAGCTTGTTTGGGCTATACACCACGAGGAGTAGTTGAGCTTGATCCTCCAGCTGAGAAGTGCGAGGACATACTTTCTGCAAAATTGTAATCGCTTTTTCCAATATCTTATTTTAGTTTGATGTCTTTATTCACCTCATTCCTATCATGTTGTGTAAAATGCACTGCATGCATGCTAATGGCTTTCTTTTGTGCCTAACAATATTTTATTACATGTAAATAACATTATATGTATACTGTATAAAAGAAATAAAATGTTTGAATTTGATTGGAGGGTAATCAAAGGATTAGAGAGGTTCATAATGGGTCTAGGGATGGCTTCATCTTTTATGTTGCTAAAGAGGTTACTATAGTGGTAATGAACTACAATGTTGATACAAATTATTGAATTAAAAATAAAAGTAATGAATTTAGACAGTCATGAATTAGTCACGATTCACTCAACAGGTTTTGGTAACACTAGGTATTTGCTGTCAATGATGATAATATATACCTGCAATTGTGCTATTCGGAAAGGGTTTCTTGTAGTTTGATGCTCTCATACTAACAATAATAATAATAATAATAATTTTATTTCTGTAAGTACATATCCAAGGTATACAGTCCTAGCTGACATTAGTGACATACTACTATATAGAAAACCCCTTATTATGCAGAGCATTTTGGGCAAATTAGGTTAGTTTTGTCCCAGGATGCAACCCACACCAGTTGACTAACACCCAGGAACCCATTTTTACTGATTGGTGAACATGGATAGCAGGTGTAAGGAAACATGCCCAATGTTTCCACCCTTGCTGGGAATTGAACCCAGACCCTCAGCATGTGAAGTGAGAGCTTTGCCTACCAGGCCATGAGCCTGGTAGGAGGGGATGTGAAGTTTGCTGATAAAGGCTTAATCATTAATGACAAATGCATAGTTGTCCTCATCCTTATGAAGCTTGAGAAAGAGAGAGTATAGTAAATTTTCACTTATGAAAATCCTATTCAAGTTTGTAGGAATAAATGCTGAAAATTATTAGGTGCACTGTAGAGTACTTGATAGAACTTAACTGTACTATATATATATATTGCCTAATAAAATATTTTTCAGGCAAATGGAATTCAGTATGAGTGTTCCTAGAATTTATGAATACTTACCAGTCCTGAGATCCATGTTAACTTCAATCAAGGTAGACACTATATGCCCAGTTTCCATGGATAACATGGCACATTTGTCTCTACATGAAAAAGGATTCATTTGAATTAAGGATTTTATTTGCAGTGGACACAAGTGAAAAAATTGTGATTTAATTGGATTAAAAAAAATTTAATTTTTAATAAAATTACACACTTTTAACCTTAGTTTATGGAAAAAAATTTTGTATCATGCTAACACCTCAAAAGTTTTTTGTGGTTTATTTTAGTTATGGATGTTATTTTATCAATCATTACAAAATAAAATTTCTCTTACTGTAAACCATACCCCCGGCCGGGATTGAACCCGCGGTCATAGAGTCTCAAAACTCCAGCCCGTCACGTTAGCCACTAGACCAGCTAGTGGTCTAGTGGCTAACGCGACGGGCTGGAGTTTTGAGACTCTATGACCGCGGGTTCAATCCCGGCCGGGGGTATGGTTTGTTTGCAATCGTGTCATTACGATTTCTTGAGTCATGTTCTCTTACTGTACTGTGTATTTAGAGTTAGCATTATTTCAGTTTAATGTTTTTTTTTTGTTCAAAAGTCTGTAGTTCATAAACACTTTAAATTGAAATGTTAAGTAAGAAAATGCTATTAAGTCAGTGATAAACATCATTTATTGTTCTGTTTTAAAATACACTTATTTAATTTTCAAAATGAGAAAAGGCTAGTGCAAGACTATGGCTTATAAACCCCATATACAGTATATGGCAAAAATTTAGCCTTATCATAAGATTAATATTTCTACATTTTAAGTTTTTCAATTCATTATGTATTTTTAAGTCATGTCATGCTTTAGTGCATTTTTTAATAAATAAATTTATGTTTTAGCTTCATTTATTCACCTAAATAAACCACCTGGTAAGCATTTAACACCAGATGCGTTTCGTTTGCTGCACGTGGTTCAGTTGCTAGCACACTCAGCTCACACGCTGAGGTCCGTGGGTCAATCCCCGGTATGGGTGTAAACATTTGGGCATGTTTCCATAAGACACCTGCTGTCCATGTTCACTTATCAGTTAAATAGATACCTGGGTGTTAGTCAACTGTTGTGGATCTCATCCTGGGACAAAACTGACCTAATTTGCCCAAAATACTCTGCATAACAAAGGGCTTTTTATATAGTAATATGTCATTGATATCAGCTAGGCCTGGATATCTTGTACATGTACTTGTTGAGATAAAGATTATTATTATATTTTTAACAAACCAGCCATATCCCACCGACACAGGGTGACCTAACAAGAAAAACGAAAGTTTCTCTTTAAATTTAGTAATGTGTACAGGAGAAGGGATTACTAGTCCTTTGCTCCTGGCATTTTAGTTGCCTCTTACGACACACATGGCTTACAGAGGAAGAATTCTGTTCCACTTGCCCATGGAAATTATTGTTATTCTTCAAGGTATGCTCCAAATCCTAGCCCCCTTAACTTAATGCATGCAGACAAAATAGTCCAAAGTGCAGCAAAAGTTTCTGTAGTTAAATATCAGTATTGAATTGTAAACAGGCATTACCTAGAAACTAATATCCCAATTGGCACTTACATAGCTTGAAACTAATTTAAGCCTTCCACTGTGTAAGATACATTAGTTTAGAAAGTTTAAAGCCAGGCTAAGTAGGCAATCTAATTATTGCACAGAAACCAATATCCGAGGTTTAATAAAACTAAAATTAAGGTTTATGCAGTCCAATAACAATTGGAGCCTTTGAGTAAAATGCACCATTATTATTATTATTATAATCATGGGGAGCGCTAAACCTGTAGGATTATACAGCACATGTGGGGGAGGGGAGATGGAAGGTATTCAGACTCAATTCAGAAAACCAGAGCACAGATCAAATTTCCCAGATCAAAAGCCCCTCACCAGCATCAAGGAACCACCTTAAGTTTGAAGTTGCTCAGAAGTTATACCCTCAGTTTAATGCCTGAAGTTTGGAATAAGTTTATTTAGATACAGGTACATACAAGTACAATTATCATATATAGTAACGTGTAAACTACCTAGGATAACCCAAAAAAATTAGTGTCTGGCTTTGCCAGTGCTTAGGCAGGGGTACATCTATCTGACTTGGCGATCTCTATGCTGGCCTTTGTGGACTGAGGACTAATAATAATATTTATTTCTACAAGTATATGATAGAAGGTATATAGGCCTTGCTAATATCAGTGACATACTACTATATAGAAAGCATCTTGTTATGCAGAGCATTTTGGGCAACTTAGGTTAATTTTGTTCCCAGGATGCGATCCACACCAGTCGACTAACACCCAGGTACCGATTTACTGAGGTGAACAGGGACAGTAGGTGTCTTAAACACGTTTCCACCCGTACCTGGGTTTGAACCAGGACCTCACTGTGTGAGCTGAGTGCGCTACCAACCAAACCCTGCCTTGACCATCGGTGAGAAATTTTTAATTTTTGTTTTCTTCCCCAGGACCCAAATGGAATAAGTAAGTTTATTCAGGTATACACAAATACAGTTACATAGATTATCATACATAGCAGTATTTGTGTAAAGTACCTAGGATAACCCAAAAAGTCAGAGAGACTTATTTCCAATAAATCACTTTTTTTTTGGGGGGGGGGGGGGATGAGGTTATCCTAAATAATTTACACATATTACTAAGCAATAAGATCACAGTAAACAGGTGATATCACATTATGCAAAATTACCACAGTGAAGAAATAAGTTAAATTCCATACGCTTTTGTGATTTCTCACATTATCAAGGCAAGTATTGTTATTATTGTAATCAAGGGGAAGCGCTAAACCCGTAGGATTATACAGCACCTGGGGGGGGATGTGGAAGGCATTCAGGCTTAATTCGGGGAACTGGAGCACAGATCCAATTCCCTAAATCAAGAGCCCCTCACCAACATCAAGGAACCTTCCCTGAGGGGATCAAGGCAAGTAATGATGCGAGAAATCACGAAAGCTTGGATTTTTTTTCACTGTGGTAATTTTGCATACATGTTGCTTTCTAAGACCATTGTAATCACCAGAAATTTGAGTAATTGTAGTTATGTGAAACTGTACCTAAATAAAGTTGCTAATCATGCTTTCTAAGCGGTTTGTTGGGACATCTGCCCTTCCTAGGTCTCATGAAAGCCTGTTGTTGTTGACTCTTGTTGGGATATAAGCGAGTATTCACTGTTATCGGTAAGTCAGTTCATTTAGGCCCGGTGGTCTGGTGGCTAAAGCTCCCGCTTCACACACGGAGGGCCCGGGTTCGATTCCCGGCGGGTGGAAACATTTGACACGTTTCCTTACACCTGTTGTCCTGTTCACCTAGCAGCAAATAGGTACCTGGGTGTTAGTCGACTGGTGTGGGTCGCATCCTGGGGGACAAGATTAAGGACCCCAATGGAAATAAGTTAGACAGTCCTCGATGACGCACTGACTTTCTTGGGTTATCCTGGGTGGCTAACCCTCCGGGGTTAAAAATCCGAACGAAATCTTATCTTATCACCTACCTACAATTATTATAGTGTAAATTACCTGGGATAACCCCCCTCTCGAAAAAGTCAGTGACTTATTTCCATTGGGGTCTACCTTGCCCTTCCCTGATTTACATAAATTTGCATTTGCTGGAGTTAAGTTCTAACAGCATTTTGTCAGATCACTCCTGCAGCTTGTCCAGATCCATTTGTAGTCTTTCCTTGTCTGCTCATGTTTGTATTCTCATTACTTATGTCATCCACAACCAGGGACACTTCTGACTATTTCTTCATTGTCTAGCTCTGCCAGGGTTTAGGTAATGGGATCTACCTAACCTAATTGGAAATATAGTTCCCATTTCTGTTTTTGGAGGAAAATTTATTTCCTCCTCAATTCCAGTTCAGATCTGGGTAACGTATTTTTCCCCAGACTTGGGAGACAGGACTCAATAAGGCGTAACCTTGATGGTACCAACAATAATAGTTTCTGCTTCAGCCTTGGTGTGAGAATATCTCCCCGTCACCTCATCATAGTTGGCAAATTTTCCCCATTTCCCCTGGGAAGTTTTTTTTTCTCATCGTATTCTACCCACTGGGCACATTAATGGCTGGGGCACCATTTATCAGCTTTATTTTTACACATATAATACTTCACGGTTTTGGTGGGAAGCCGGTTACTGAAGCCCCGCTCTACCAGGGCTAAAATTTACGCTAAAACAGGTGTTCCATCTGACCTAACTGGGGACACTTTGCTCCTGTTTCTAATTGCAAGGAGGACTTTTGCTCTATTTCTTTTCATTCCGCAGCATAGGACAATACTTTTCCCAGACAGGAAAACGGTTCTCGATAAGGTGGAGGCCGTCAGTAGCCTTTAAAACTCAACAACAACAACACCTGGAGTTTTGTGGGGTCGAGACTCAGCTCCTGGCCCCAACGATTACTCTCAAAAATCAATGTCCACTATGAGTAGTGCTGGTCACCATGACACTGTCTTGGCTCACATCCTCACCCAGGAACACAATTCTCTTCCATCTTTTTTAAATGCTGTGTTTGGATTTTTGTCGCGACATTGCCCGTAAGTTAAAGTAAAGGTTCATTGACTAAGATTTTGCTTTTTCATATATTACAGTATGATTTTACCCAGTGTAAAATATAGTAATTATAGTTTAAACATTATATTGTCACTATTTGAGTTTAGGTCCAGGTCTGAACTCGGTCTTTTACCAGTTTGAATCGGAAATAAAATTATTATTAAATAAATAAGTTTATTTAGGCACAGATACACGTAAGTACAATTATCATACACAGTGTAATTACCAAGAATAATCCAGAAATGTCAGACAAAGTGACTTATTATCATTGGTCTCTAACAGATAGTAAAACATTGCGTTTTGGAATTTTATATCAGATTAAGCATACCTGGAGTATACCTGGAGAGGGTTTCGGGGGTCAACGCCCCCGCAGCCCGGTCTGAGACCAGGCCTCGTGGTGGATCGGGATCTGATCAACCAGGTTGTTACTGCTGGCCACACGCAAACTGACGTACGAACCACAGCCCGGTTGGTCAGGTACTGGCTTTAGGTGCCTGTCCAGTGTCTTCTTAAGACAGCCAGGGGTCTATTGGAAATCCTTTTTATGTATGCTGGGAGGCAGTTGAACAGTCTTGGGCTCCTGATACTTATTGTTCTGTCTCTGTGTACTCCTGGCGCCCCTACTTTTCATTGGGGAAATGTTGTATCTCCTGCCAAGTCTTTTGCTTTCATGGGGAGTGATTTTCGTGTGCAAGTTTGGTACTAATCCCTCTAGGATTTTCCAAGTGTATATTATCATGTATCTCTCTCTTCTGTATTCCAGGGAATACAGATCAAGGGACTTCAACTGTTCCCTGTAAATTAGGTGCCTTATCGTACTTACGTGTACCGTGAAAGTTCTTTGTACACTCTCAAGGTCAGCAGTTTCGCCTGCCTTGAAGGGGGCAGTTAGTGTACACCAATATTCCAGCCTAGAGAAATCAAGTGATTTGAAGAGAATCATCATGGGCTTGGCATCCCTAGTTTTGAAGGTTCTCATTATCCATCCTATCATTTTCCTAGCAGATGCGGTAGATACACTGTTGTGGTCTTTGAAGACGAGATCCTCTGACATTATTACTCTCAGGTCTTTCACATTACTTTTTTGCTCTATTATATGGTTAGAAAGCCCCTTGTATACCTTGATAAAGTTTTAATTTCCTCACGTTTTCCATATCTGAGTACAGTGGACTCCCGCATAACGATTACCTCCGAATGCGACCAATTATGTAAGTGTATTTATGTAAGTGCGTTTGTACGTGTATGTTTGGGGGTCTGAAATGGACTAATCTACTTCACAATATTTCTTATGGGAACAAATTCGGTCAGTACTGGCACCTGAACATACTTCTGGAGTGAAAAAATATCGTTAACCGGGGGTCCACTGTAGTTGAAATTTCTCTTCATTGAACTTTATATTGTTTTGAGGGGCCCATTTGAAGGTTTGGTTGATGTCTGCCTGGAGTCTTGCGGTGTCTTCGATGGAGATCATTGTCATGGCAATTCAGGTGTCATCCACAAAGGAAGACACGGAGCCATGGCTTACATCTCTGTCTGTCAGATATGAGGATGAGGAATAGAATGGGAGCGAGTACTGTGTCTTATGGAACAGAGCTTTTCATCGTAGCTGCCTCAGACTTTACTCTGTTTACTATTACTCTTTGTGTTCTATTTGTCTGGAAGTTATAGATCCATCTACCAACTTTTCCTGGTGTTCCTTTATCATGCATTTTGTGCACTATTACACCATGGTCACACTTGTCAAAGGATTTTGCAAAGTCTGTGTATACTCCATCTGCAGGTGAAATTGCCGACCTAGAAAATGTACAGAGAACTTTCACGGCACGCATAACGGAGATAAAACACCTCAATTACTGGGAGCGCTTGAGGTTTCTAAACCTGTATTCCCTGGAACGCAGGAGGGAGAGATACATGATTATATACACCTGGAAAATCCTAGAGGGACTAGTACCGAACTTGCACACGAAAATCACTCACTACGAAAGCAAAAGACTTGGCAGACGATGCACCATCCCCCCAAGGAAAAGCAGGGGTGTCACTAGCACGTTAAGAGACCATACAATAAGTGTCAGGGGCCCGAGACTGTTCAACTGCCTCCCAGCACACATAAGGGGGATTACCAACAGACCCCTGGCAGTCTTCAAGCTGGCACTGGACAAGCACCTAAAGTCAGTTCCTGATCAGCCGGGCTGTGGCTCGTACGTTGGTTTGCGTGCAGCCAGCAGCAACAGCCTGGTTGATCAGGCGCTGATCCACCAGGAGGCCTGGTCACAGACCGGGCCGCGGGGGCGTTGACCCCCGAAACTCTCTCCAGGTAAACTCCAGGTATAGTGGCATAATCATATTCATATTTGATTTTTAAATAATTTAATGAAAATAGCTTTTTAATAGTAAAACCAAATTGTGAAGACAATAACAAATCTTTACATTTTTTATTCTTTGAATACTATTTATACTATATACATAATTTTTGCAGTTTAATACCTTTCAGAGAAGAAATGTATGGCAGTGCTCACATCTCTGGAGAACACCTCATCAGTCAGTCATATTGTAAGTGGCGGCAGAAATACTTGGATGATAAAGCCTCACAGTCTCTGTTGCCTGAGCGATGGTAAGCTTTCAAGAGAAAAACACATAGAGTGCAAAGTAAAAGGATAGATTAAGGAAATACATACGTATATAGTTTAATGTTACCCTTGCAGTGTCTTTGCAAATGGCTATTGGCAGTACTTTTAAACAAACTTGGATAAACTAATCTGCAAAGCTTATTGAATACAATGTAGATATTGACTGAATGTCGTTGCCTTAAATATCTTGAGTAAAATATTTCTTGCAAAATTTCTGTCAGTGTATGTTTGGTAAGCTTATGTCTTAACAAATTACAACCCCACAAAGTTAAATCTAAGACTGAACATTATTTCATCCATCATGGGCCATCATCAGGTCAGGAGTGAGGGGAACACTGGTAAAAAGATAAGTGCAATGTGAGATGGTAAACGATCAGGTTAAGTTGTGTGTTATGAATATTAAGAGCATCTACCACTATTGGGAGTAGCTAAAATCTAGGGGGGAGGGGAAATTATGACTAACACTAATCTTGTTCTGCTTCCTTGCTGATATTGTACAAACAGCAGCTTTTTTCCATCATTTTAGTGACTATTATTACGTATTATTATAATCATAACTAAGTGCTAAACCCACAAGGGTAATTTTAGTTACTTAAACCCTTCCACAAGCTGATCATCATTTAAAATTTCTTTCCTTTGAAACTGTCTTATTATGTAGATTCTACTACACATCACTCTTGAATCTTATTCCTGGCTTAGTTCCAGTTGATGTTTGCCTCTCCCAATACACTGTTAAATGGTTTAACTTTAAGAGTGTAAGTAACTTGACCTGATCCTTGCTATTCTGCCACCACTTTGACATTTCTACTTGCTTTAATGTATTCCCCCACATTTATGATTAGATAATATCGGAAGACATTGAAATGTACAGTTCTCATGTCCAATTTGTGGACTTATGATTTGTCCAAGCGAGGGTACAGTACTGCATTGTCAATTATTTCTTTGTGCTTAACATACCTCTAACTCTGCCCATTTCCAAATCCTCTAAACAGCTCTGCAGTATGGAGACAAATAGCAAAATGCCAACAAGTGATAAAAAAAGACACAGTTGCAGAGAGGAATGTTACTGAGATATTTCTCCTGTGGAACAGGCTTCCTCAGTCAATACACAGGGATGCACAAGTTCCTTTCTGCAAGTGTCTTCTTTACCAGTTCTTTTATATACTATTCATGATATAACTAGGTTTTTATATTTTATTTTCGAAATACATATGTAATAGTATTTCCTGCAAATTGTATTTTGTAGTGTAACCATTTCATGATCCACATACATATTGTGTATTTCCTTAGCAAGGAGGAGGATGTGCCAGTAGCACTTTCCGAGGAAGTTGTTATATCCCATAATAGATTGAATGGCAGTCATGCAGTAAGTACGGGCACAGCAGACACTGCTTCTGGTGGTTCTACAGCATCATATCCAAATTCTTCTGGGTATGTTGCATTAAATGATTTGTTTTTAAGCAGGACCATATCTAGGTGACAAAAAGATACAAAAATTTTACACCTGCAATTTGAAATAGCTTAAAAATTATTCTAAAAATTGTAAATTAATGTTGTTAATCAATATATCTATAAATATGATAATTTAAAGAATGTCTCAAATACTTAATAATAAAATCATAAAAGATTATGATAATCTTAAAAGAAATTTAAATAAGAAAGAAAATAAGATGACAATAAGGGAATATGCTAGCAAAGGTGATAATAAAAATTAAATGGTTACATTTACCAGTATAAAACGTGCCGAAAGATTGAATACTGTATTAACAATGTAAATATGAAAGGCTAGTGGCAAGGATTGTCATTTGTGCATCCAGGAGGCATGTGAGATCATGTTATGGGTGGAGACAAATGATTTTTAGAATTTGATGTGCTCTTGGAGTGTGATGAAGTTCACACCCAAGAGATTCACTGAAACCGGTTAGCTGAACTTGAGATGGAAGGTACAGTGCCAACTCTGAAGAATGGGTGGGAATGCTGCAGTTCAGTGGGACATTTTAGTTGTGATGTGTTTTCTTCTTTGGGTCATTGTTGGTGGAAACTGCCATTGTTAAAAAATGTATATAGCAGTAAACCCTCGATTTAATGAACCTTAATATATTAGACTTCAAAAATAAAGGACAAAATAATGGACAGAGTTTCTTGGTTACAGAATTGTCCATTACTGTTAAGATCATTTTTTAAAGTCATCTAAATTAGGTTAACACTTATCTGTATCTAGATTTATCTTTTAGTCCTTTCATCTCTCTGCATAATGTCTAGTTATTTCACAGGCCATACAGTAAATCCAGAAAACATGATAGCAACTTTGATACAACAAATGGTGCTGTGAGGGACTCTTATGCCTGGACACAGACTATAGAAGATATGGAAGTGAGAGTTACTGTACCAGATAATGTTTTAAGAGGAAAGCAGGTAATGCACACAATATTGTACATTACTATCACTTTCATCTGTTGCTTCATGATGAAACCAATTTAATGTATCATTGTACAAGATGATAAGACTGCATTGCTGTACATGAAAAAAAGTTTTAAGATAATACTACATTTTAATGTGCTAATTTAGACTGTCTTCACAGGTTAGAGTGATCTTACAAGCGTCGTTTATTGAAGTGGGGGTGCAGGAACCAGGTCTGGTGTGGCACACCCTTCTTAAAGGCAAATTAATCCACAATATCAAAGCTGAGGAGTCTTTGTGGTCTCTGCTTCCTGGTGAACATATATCAGTAAGAGAGTCATAATTGTTTTGAGCCTTAGAATAATAAATTGTTGTTGATTATTCTATATTTCCTCTCTATACAGTAATCTTGGTTCCCTATCAAAAATTTTAATAATTTAGTCACTTAACACAGTTTGGTAAATGTAATAACACAGTTCTAGCAGCTTTACATCCAGCAGGCTTTGAGCAGAGACAAGTGGTTTTTATTTTTTGACTTGCTGTTCGCATTTGAGCAGCATTTGTGAAGGGATTCGGGGAAACTGGTTAGGCATACTTGAATCTTGGAAGTGGTAAACAAAATTCCTGTACTCTGAAGGAGGGGTGGGGATTCCATAGTTCAGAGTTTTGCTTGAACTGTGATTTCTGGTCACTTGTGGCAAGATAGGGTTTGAATGAATGATAAATATTTTTTCTTTTGGGTTGGGGAAGACAGCTGGTGTTTTAAAAATTAATAATAATACATGTTCTTTCAACACACTGCCTGTATCCCACTGAAGCAGGGTGGCCCAAAAAGAAAAATGAAAGTTTTTCTCTTTAACTTTAGTAATATATACAGGAATAGAGAGTTACTAGCCCCTTGCTCCCGGCATGTTAGTTGCCTCTTACGACATGCATGGCTTACGGAGGATATGGTTTGTTTGCAATCGTGTCATTACGATTTCTTGAGTCAAGAATTCTGTTCCATTTCCCCATGGAGATAAGAGGAATTAAACAAGAATAAGAACTAGTAAGAAAATAGAAAACTCAGAGGGGTGTGTGTGTATATATATATGCTTGTACAAACAAAAAAAAAAGTTATCCATGGAGGCAAAGAAGGGAATGTATGAAAGTATAGTGGTACCAACACTTATTTGGGGGTGAAGCTTAGGTTGCATATGCTGCAGCAAGGAGGCAGCTGGAGGCAGTGAAGATGTCCTGTCTAAGGGCAATAAGAAGGGAGGAACACTGCAGTAGGCCTGTTGGCCCATACTAGGCAGGTCCTTCACAAATCCAACCCACTAACAGAATAAACACTGCCCAAGCATTTATGGGTAGGTAAGTAAGTAAGTTTATTCAGGTATACACAAATACAGTTACATAGAATTATCATACATAGCAGCATATGTGTAGAGAACCTAGGATAACCCAAAAAAGTCAGACAGAGTGACTTATTTCCATTGGGGTCCTTTTACCTTATTATTATAATATGAAGGTTATAATATTTTCTTATTATTCTACAATGGAGATAATATCTTATTATCATACTAAAAAGACTATCTACTACACCAAGGTCATTAAGACTATCTACAATACGAGGGTCATTACTAGGAATATGGTAAAATTTACACGTATGTTAGCTAAAAAATAGAAAATCATTCCCCTCCCTTTCTGTAGCTACATTCATCAGACACCTTTTGGCACTCTTCTTGAACTGGTTCATGCTATGACTGGCTTTGACATGTGCGGGCAGTCTGTTCCATTCCTTTATTGCTGTACAATAAAAGGTGTTTGAAGCCTGGCCACTGACTGTGGGTTGTGCTCTCTTCCCCTAGTACTATGATTACTTTGGTTCCCAACCTTGACAAAATTGACAGCAAGATATTCTGGACACTGTTTGTGAGCAATTTTATAAACATGATTTAGCTTCAGTTGTTTTACTCTGTCTTCAACATTCAGCATATCCAACTGCTGTAATTCATCCTGGCCTACATGTTCTCTTTGTCCCAGCCCCAGGATGAATCTTACGATTTTGTTCTGGGTGATTTGCAGTCTATCTTTCAGTTTTTTTGTCAAGGCAGAGTACCAAGAAGAGCATGCGTAATCCATATGGCATTGTATAAGGGCTAGACATAGGGTCCTGCGAGCCTCAGTAGGTAGACACTGTGCTTGTCTATACAGGAACTTCAGTCTGGCATTCGCTTTCTTTACTACACTGTTCCCTATCAATTCTCCTGACATGCATGGGTCAAAGGGGATTCCCAAATATTTTACTGATGAAACCAAAGTGATGGGCTCCCCATTACACTGAACATGAAAATTATTTACCCTTCTCAGTTTATGTTTCGTGCCAAAGAGAATGGCTTCAGTTTTCCCTAGGTGTAATGATAGTTTGTTGTCTACTAACCATTTGCTGCAGGACTCCAGTTCCAGTGTTAAAACATTAGCAATACCTTGTGGGTCTTTACCTGACACTAACAGAGCACTGTCATCTGCATACAGTAGGAGTTTGCACTTGACACTGATAGGCATATCATTGACATAACATAAGAATAATAAGGGACCCAGAATACTATCTTGGGGAACTCCACATGTTATCGGCAGGGGTTCTGATTCTGTTTTGTTGATAGCTTGAAGTTTATTACATAATATATTGTGGTTGACAGTATCGAAGGCCTTTTGCAAGTCTAAGGTTACCATACCTATGAGGTTCCCCTTTGACATTTCAGTTCTCAGGTAATCCATCAGATTAATAAGGGAGGTGTCGGTTGAGTAGGATCTTCTAAAGCCCGATTGATAGCTATGGAGAATGTTGTTGTCATTAAGGTACTTAACTACTTGAGAATACACCGCCCTCTCTAGAATTTTAGATATTATACTGAGTATACTAACAGGCCTATAGTTGCTTACATCAGACCTACTATTTTTCTTGAAGATAGGAGTAACTCTGGCCTCCTTGAACCCCTCTGGTACGGTATTAGTGGTGATTGATAGATTTATTATGTGAGCAATAGGGATTGACAGTTCAGAAGCACCATCTTTTAGGAACTTAGATGGGATGTTATCAGGGCCTGTGCTCTTAGTTGGGTTTAACCTGCTTAGTTCTTTTTGAATAAAGTCATGAGATACACTTACTAGTTGACAACTGTTTGGGGTTACCCCTTTATTGGTATAGTATGTTTGAAACTTATCAGAGTCTGTGTTATAGGTATTTGATGCAGCTGGTAGTTTACTATTTACTCACATGCAAGTCCCACTCAAATCTAACCCCTCTCCCCCATGTACTTTCCCAACCTAAATTTGAAACTGCCCAAGGTTTTAGCTTCGATAACCCTACTAGGCAGACCATTCCACTCCTCAACTACCCTATTACCAAGCCAGTACTTTCCTATATCCTTTCCAAATCTAAACTTATCTAATTTGAATCAATTTTTGCGGGTTCTCTATTTGGGGGATATCCTCAAAACCTTATTTATATCCCCTTTGTTAATACCCATGTTTCACTTGTACACTTCGACCATGTCTCCCCTCATTCTTCATCTTACGAGTGAGTGTAGTTAAGGAAATGTGATATCAGCACACTTTTGGTAAGACAGCGATTGAATGAATAATGGTGAATGTGTTTTCTTTTCTAGGTCTCCCTGAATTGGTGCGAGAAAGCCTTTGAGATATTATTAAAATTATGATTTTTTTATTAAAAATTAGCCGTCCATTGTTATTAAATTCTAGATTCACTTAGAGAAGAGCGAAGAATGCTGGTGGGATAGGCTCATGTCATCTGAAGACCCAATAGACCTAAAGAAGATCAGTGCAGAACGTGACTACGCTACACTTCCTCAAGAAGAGAGGCAGAAAATTCAGCAACTTGTATGGAATAAACAACAGCAAGACCAAGGAAAACCAACTACTGATCAACTCGTAAGATATTTTGTACTTGGTATTGTTAGCTTTGCTTACATGCAACATAATATTCATAGTAACACATTTTTTTTTATTAACACATCGGCCATTTCTCACCAAGGCAGGGTGGCCTGAAAAAGAAAAACTTTCATCATCACTCACTCCATCACTGTCTTGCCAGAGGTATGCTTACACTACAGTTATAAAACTGCAATATTAACACCCCTCCTTCAGAGTGCCGGCACTGCTCTTCACATCTCCAGGAATCAAGTCCGGCCTGCCGATTTCCCTGAATCCCTTCATGAGTGTTACCTTGCTCACACTCAAACAGCATGTCAAGTCCTAAAACCCATTTGTCTTCATTCACTCCTATCTAACATGCCCACGCACGCTTGATGAAAGTTCAAGCCCCTCGCACACAAAACCTCCTTTACCCCCTCCCTCCAACCTTTCCTAGGCTGACCCCTACCCCGCCTTCTCTCCACTACAGATTTATATACTCTCGAAGTCATTCTGTGTCATTCCAGCCTCTCTACATGTCTAAACCATCTCATTAACCCCTCCTCAGCCCTCTGGATAATAGTTTTGGTAATCCACACACCTCTACATTATATTTATGCCACACATAATCACAAGCTATCTTTGTTATATGATTGCTTTTTATTTTACTGTTCAAAATTACAACATTGTACTGTATGGCTATAGTTAAACCTCATTAATCTGTATTTGTAGGGACTCAGTTTCTCTCAGACACACTACCCAAATTCTATTTATAATAACCATCTAGAGCATTTAAAAATGATAAATACTTGTATATCATTTTATATGCTATGCTATAACACACAGCCTCTCCTCACTTAACGACGGGGTTCTGTTCGTAAGACCACATCATTAAACGAATTCTTTGCTAAGTGAGGAGCATACTATAATGGTAGTGGTTTTGTGTCAACCATCTTATAATATTTATAATATTTCTGGTATATTTTTAAATGTTTGTACAGAAATGTACTGTATATTGAAATAAACAGAATAGAGGAAATCAGCTCTAATATACATTATTTAGGTATAAATACTGGTCAGAGAGCCCGTCGTAAGTCTGAGGCATCAGTAAACGAGTACATCGTTGTATATACTTCTGGCCTCTAGGCCAGAGGTAGTCATGGGAGCTGCAAAATTAGTGTATTTTGTGCAAGGATATCTTTCAGAGCTTTTTACAATAATGATAATTCTATATAGCATTAATTTTTTTTCAAATGTACATAGGTATTACAATGAGTGAGTTTATAGTTAGTGCACAGATTAAAAAAGCCCATAGTTACATGCAGCATTTTTAGGCAGTTCATGAGCAGTGCAGGAAAATATCAAAGATGATTTAAGCATCATCTAAGTGTAGAAGTAATTATGAAAGCTACATAAATAGTACAAATTCAGAGCAGGTGAAGCCCTGGGACAACACACACATTTTTCAATATATTTATATTTTAGACTTGAAAATCTATTCATGCTTATTACTGCTCAAAATAATCATAATAAAATTACACTTTAATTCATTTAAAAATATGAATGATATTTCTTTTGTTCCATTAATGAAATTTTATGTACACAAAATGGAGCCTTGGGGGGGGGGGGCCTTCTCACATTTAATTAAAGCCCTGGGGCATCTGCCTCATTTTTTCCTATGTTAATCCGTCAATGAATGTATATAAGGCTGCCACTCAAAGCTACTTGCAAGCAACACAAGCAAATGTTGCCTCTTTTACTCTCAGATAATCATTTCTTACAATGGGATTTTTTTTATACCTTTTTTATATTAAGCCAAACCTGTTAAAGCTAATGTATTTATTGTAAATCTGCACTTTAAACCAAGGTATATTTTTATTTTGAAGAAAAATTCGGATTTTGCAACATTATTTGTTGCTTCCCTGTGCCATCTGTGAATACCCATGCTTTGAGCAGTTGGCAGTGGCATGTTGTATTCTGTGTAAAAATGGGTAAAAATCTGAAAGTTAACACTTCCAGCACTTGTATAACTAGAACTAAGTCAGAATGATGAACTGCCACAATGGGAACCTCACTGGGCATGAAAGCAAAAGCAAAAATTAGTACAGGTCATCCATCACTAATCTGGCATCATTGGGACCTGTAGGGTGCCAGATTAATGATTTTGCTAGATCACAAAGTGGTTAGGTTAGAATACACTTAACCCAACAGTTAAACACCTCATTCTACCTTTAAAATCCTCCATAAATTAGTACAAGTTGGTTAATAAAGTTAACCAACTTGACTTACACAAGAAAGTTCATCACTGCTGCTTCCAAAGTGAAGAGCTGAAATTTACAACTAAACGTATTCACATGTCTTGAAGTGAAGAGCTGTCAGGATTGCCATCTTCTTGAGGTGAAGGACTGTCAGAATTGCCATCTTCTTGAGGTGAAGGACTGTCAGAATTGCCACCTTCTTGAGGTGAAGGACTGTCAGGATTGCCATCTTCTTAAGGTGAAGGGCTGTCAAGATTCCCATCTTCTTCATCTTGGATGGTGACTGAAATATCAGGAACTGATGATAACGGTGGCATCACATTTGGGTGAGCAGATGTTGAAGGTACTAGATTTTCAAATGGTGACTCTGTTAAATGCTTTTTTAGCTATTTTTTTTAACATATTTTGCAAGCTGTTGCATATATTTTGGCCTTTCTTTAATTAGTTTATCTTGCAGCATATACATAAACGTTCATTATTTCTTGTTCAGTAGAGAGACTTCCTACTACATCTTCCTCATTTTCATCACTGCTTTCTCCTCAACTGGCTTTTAGCTGCATCTTCATCTACATTCATCCATTTTCCAACATTATCTTCATCCATCCTCAATGCAAAATCACAGCAGGATTAGTCCGATCACCAAAACAGTAGTGGCAGGTTGTTGCAGTGACCTGGGAAATTTGAAATTAGTGCCAGATTGGTGATGGAACCAGATTACTGATTATCAGATAAGTGATAGTCGACCTATACTATTATTATCACCTCACCTCCCTATAGACCACACGTTTGAATTAAAGGCAAAATTAGGGAATTTAATATAGCATGAGTGTATGAAATAAACTAGTTCAGATTAATGAGGTCTGACTGTACATCTGTATGGAATTAATTTTATACATTAATCTTCAATTCTTTATTGGCAGAAAATGGAATCAGTGCTCCGTAAGGCATGGAACATAGAGGGCTCTCCATTCCAGGGTAAACCTTATGATCCTTCATTAATCAACTTTACTGCTGGAGGAAGTTTTGGAAAAGGATAGCTGGACTCAGAAAATAGTATGCTTAGAAAATTTTCTCTCTATATCTGCCTGTAAAGTATCTGAGGACTTGCCTTATAGCTGTTTTAAAGTACGTACATAATTAACACTGATTCCAAATAAAATTTTAATCATATTATGCTTATAATTTAATCATCTTGGTTATTAAGTACAGTATTGCATATTTATGTTCATAAAACTGACAGTTTTCCTTCTACAGGAGGTATCTCGTATGACATATTTATAAGATAAGCTTTAGTAGGAAAAGCTGTAAATATTACAGAAAGTATAAAAGTAGTATAAATTTGTATGATGGTTCTGAGGATATATAGATATTATATATAGGCATATATAAATGGTACATTATGTATATTTAATGAAGAATGACCCAATAAAGTCAGTGTAACTTACTTTCATTGGGGGGTCCTTGTATAATTATACATACTCTGATGTACATAAGCACACAGTAATAAGTGATTTAGTACGAGATTAGATTTCATTGCCAGACCATCTTGTTTATGCACCCCATATCCATCCTGTGGACAGTAGCACATAACTATACTGCAAATAAATTAAAACTATCAATAACTCATACTATTTAATATTTGGGAATAAATCTTAAAAATATACACCCAGGCACAAAGATAAATACCAGTGTGCACATTTTGCAATACAAGATGAGGGAATAAATCCTTGTGTATTTAGCTTGACAGCAAACTTAAATTTAACATGTGTATGCAGTGCATACCTAAGAAATTTTTTAAAACGTGCACATTCTTTCCAGAATATGCTACACACTATGTACCACAACCATCACTACTTACTCTATACTACCATTTAATCTACCATTACCTCTCCTAATGTATATAGAGGTCTGTAACAGGTAATAGAATCTCTATCAGAGCAACTGGATTGACCATGTGTTGCAGTATATGGATGCATCATTATGAGTGGCTTTGCAAAAAATACTCATCACAACAGGAAGAGAATAAACTGAAACAAACAATATAGAGTAAAACTCTGGTTTTCGTCTGGTCCAAATATCGTACAATTTGGATTTCAGCCACTTTTTTGGTGAATTTTTACTCCAGGTTTCGTACATCGACTCGGAAATTGTCCGTATCAGACGCATCCGCCCTCCTGGGACACCGCCACCTGACTCAGTGTGCCTCTGTCACTTGTCGAGTGAACAATACTCCGTATGTTCATCCATTGTTTTTGGTGCTTGTTTATTAAGTGCGACTGTAAAATAAGCCACCATGGGGCCAAAGAAAGTTCAGAGTGCCAGCACTTTGGTAAAGAAGGTGAGAAACACGATAGAATTCAAGAAAGAGCTTGTATCAAAATATGAAAGTGGTGTATGTGTGGCCGAGCTCGCCAGAAAGTATGGGAAGTCCAAATCAACAATCACTTCAATCCTGGTGAGAATGTGCCTTCTTCAGTGATTAAGGACATGTGTGCAAAGTGGAGCGAGTTGCAGAGTTTTGCGGAGAATTATCACCCTAACAAAGCTGTTGCAGGCTGTGTCTGCAACATGTTCAAAGACAATGTCTTGTCCCATTTTAGGCAAATCTTAAAGAGATGCCAGAAACAGGCCTCTCTGGACAGATTTTTTTTGTGTGACAGGGGTGCACTGATTCAAAATGGTGCCTGTAAAAGACAAAGTTGGGAAGTAACCCTGGATAGGGCTTTGATACCTGAAGGCCTTATGTAGGGGGATTTTCCTTCCAAACAATAACCTGTCCTCTTCTCTCCCCTCCTCACCTTCCATACGCCAGCAAGAGTCTTCAATAAAGGTATGTAATAGTGATTTAAATGTTCATTTATCCATTAAAATTAGGGCTTTATATTTATTTCTCATTGTTTTCTGTATATAAAATTATAGTTATTCTCTGTAAAATGTATTTTTTGTCAATATTTTTGGTTGTCTGGAAAGGATTAATTGGATTTACATTATTTCTTATGGGAAATATTACTTTGGTTTTTGCCCTTTTCGGATTTCAACTGACCTGGAACAGATTAAGGACGAAAACCAGGGTGCCACTGTATGTGATGTTTAGTCATCATATATATATTTCTTTCTTTCAACACACCGGCCGTATCCCACCGAGGCAGGGTGACCCAAAAAGAAAAACGAAAGTTTTTCTTTTTAAATTTAGTAATTTATACAGGAGAAGGGGTTACTAGCCCCTTGCTCCTGGCATTTTAGTCGCCTCTTACAACACGCATAGCTTACGGAGGAAGAATTCTGTTCCACTTCCCCATGGAGATAAGAGGAAATAAACAAGAACAAGAACTAGAAATAAAATAGCAGAAAACCCAGAGGGGTGTGTGTATATATATGCTTGTACATGTATGTGTAGTGTGACCTAAGTGTAAGTAGAAGTAGCAAGACGTACCTGAAATCTTGCATGTTTATGAGACAGAAAAAAGGACACCAGCAATCCTACCATCGTTTTACACTCACTTGGCAGGACGGTAGTACCTCCCTGGGCGGTTGCTGTCTACCAACCTATTACCTAGAACAACTACAAATATGAATGTACTGTATATGTATTTTATAGCTCTGGGGCGTTTTAAATGTCATATATTACGTGTGTGTGTGGGGTGGGGTGGGCTGCCTTGGCTGACTACCATACTTCCCACACCTGACTTCCTACAAATAAATACAACTCGCCTCACACCTTACATTAAGACTACAAATAGAGTATTTTAAGGTAAATAATGGGTGTACTATGTGTATTTTACTTTTTATTGTATTTTTTAATGCCTAGTTCTATCAAAAGATTAGGTGATGAAAGATTGAATATCAGATTGGAGGGAGAGAGTATGGAGGAGGTGAACGTATTCAGATATTTGGGAGTGGACGTGTCAGCGGATGGGTCTATGAAAGATGAGGTGAATCATAGAATTGATGAGGGGAAAAGGGTGAGTGGTGCACTTAGGAGTCTGTGGAGACAAAGAACTTTGTCCTTGGAGGCAAAGAGGGGAATGTATGAGAGTATAGTTTTACCAACGCTCTTATATGGGTGTGAAGCGTGGGTGATGAATGTTGCAGCGAGGAGAAGGCTGGAGGCAGTGGAGATGTCATGTCTGAGGGCAATGTGTGGTGTGAATATAATGCAGAGAATTCGTAGTTTGGAAGTTAGGAGGAGGTGCGGGATTACCAAAACTGTTGTCCAGAGGGCTGAGGAAGGGTTGTTGAGGTGGTTCGGACATGTAGAGAGAATGGAGCGAAACAGAATGACTTCAAGAGTGTATCAGTCTGTAGTGGAAGGAAGGCGGGGTAGGGGTCGGCCTAGGAAAGGTTGGAGGGAGGGGGTAAAGGAGGTTTTGTGTGCGAGGGGCTTGGACTTCCAGCAGGCATGCATGAGCGTGTTTGATAGGAGTGAATGGAGACAAATGGTTTTTAATACTTGACGTGCTGTTGGAGTGTGAGCAAAGTAACATTTATGAAGGGATTCAGGGAAACCGGCAGGCCGGACTTGAGTCCTGGAGATGGGAAGTACAGTGCCTGCACTCTGAAGGAGGGGTGTTAATGTTGCAGTTTAAAAACTGTAGTGTAAAGCACCCTTCTGGCAAGACAGTGATGGAGTGAATGATGGTGAAAGTTTTTCTTTTTCGGGCCACCCTGCCTTGGTGGGAATCGGCCAGTGTGATAATAATAAAAATAAAAATTCTATTACTAACTGAATGTAAGTTAGTGTCAACTTGTTGTCAGGCATTTATAAGTGGAAAAATGATATTCTGTTCTAAAGCAGTAGCCTGGAATCTAACCAGCCATATAAGCGGGGCTCTACTGTCTATAATTTTTTTTTTTTTAGAAACTTCATATGTTAATATTGTACTACTATATTTTTGAATAGAAAATTATTCTTTCATAAACTAAAGCAACATTATAGTCCAAAATGTGTTTAGAACCTAAGTTAGGTCAGGCAGGCTAACCAGCAAAGGCAGCTGGACAAGAATCAATGAGGTTCAATCACACAAGCTTGCCACTAAGGGTTGGAAAATCGCACCCAACTGGACCTCTTGACATCACACAGTTAGTTATTCAGTGGAGCCAAGACATTCATGTCATGATCAGGTGTATAATATTTAAAATTCCTTAATATATTGATTACAGGAAGGAAGTTTTTACATAAGTATGAAATACATTCTATCCTCGAATAAATATGTATTTAAGCCAAATTGTTTATAAACGCCAAAGTCAATACCACATGGTTTAGTTATTATTTCTGCTGAATCAGCAATAGTCTCATATAAAAGAAATCTTTGGGTTTGAATCAGTTAGCCCAAGAGATACTACATGGGGCCAAGTTCTGTCCAAATATGCTAAGATAATGGCAGCCAGTCAGTCACAGTGTATTCAGAGACTATTCAGTGTCAAAGTATTGCACTATTTACTGGCATAATTCAAAGGACGCTTGGATGTAATTTGCACATTGTATTACTAATATTTACTATTTTATGATTGGGTCTGTAGGTCTGTCTAATCACTCTTAGATTGATTGACACATTAATGTGAAACAGTCTTTGTATAAGCAACATGGAATAATAGACTGGAGGAAAATTCATTATAGTTTAGATTCATTATATACCATGAGACAAAATATAGCTGTGAAAACAAACATTATGAATCAAGTGGTCAACAAGATTGGAAAATTGAGCCATCAAAGGCATGTGAATAAAGGATAACATCTGTACACTGGAGCAGATAAGTGTCATGTAGGACTGTGTAGAGAGCTTTTTATTTATACATACAATACTGCATGATGAGCTAGTGTTGGTGATGTAAGAGAAAGCTGTAGCCAAGGTATGCTTTAATCAGTTGATCAAGTTTGAAGCCTATCAACTGCATGAGAGTCATTAAGGCTGCACGTCACTTGTTCACTACCAATCAAAAATATCTGTACCTTAACCTCTAAAATGGGATGAAAGCAAATACTCAGCATATATACCCTGAGAGATACATGCCTTTTGGTGTATATAGCCTTGTGAATGTTCTAATGGACTTAGTAATTTCATGTTAGGTTTAACAGTGTATATTTAATGATTCTATAATTCTATGTAATTATACCACATACAATCCACTAAATTTAAGTACTGTTTAATATTTACTATTGTTCTTCATTG